CCCGCCAAAACGCTCACACGACCACCCCCCCCCCACCCCGGCGGGACCCCACCGGCTGCCTTTCTCGCCGGGTTCACCCGTCGTCTTCGGGCTGCGGAAAGTGCGACGGTGTAAACGACCGACGGGGCTCCGCTGCCTGCGCCGGGGCAGCGGCTCCACCGGCCCGCCGGGAGCTGCCGACGGAGAGGAGGCCCCAGGGAGCCCGCATCCCCCGCCACCGGCCGCTTTCTGGTGTTGCGTTGGGGGGGGGGGGGGGAAGAGAGGCGAAAACCACTTGATGCTTCCTTGTTTCTGGAGGGGGAGGGAATTTTTTACCATGTCAGATTCTATTTTATATGTAACTTGAACTGCCTATGGGAACACTGGTGTATGAAGACTTATTTTTGTATGAAAAACCTTAGAGAAAAGGGGTGAGGAGACGGTTCTATTTTTAGCAAGTCCTATTCCCTTGTTCTTGAACACTGCCAGCTAGAATGTTTCAGGAGCATACACGGTTTAGATATAAAAAGGTGGGGTTTTTTTTCTCTCCAAACACTTTAGTAAAAGACTATAAAGTTATTTTGTGTCTTAATGTGGTGTCCAAGTTTGCCTGGTGTGAAGGTCCACTTCTCTGAAAACTGAAGTTTGTTTTTTTTTAAAAAAAAAAAAATGTATTGAAGGCATTTTTGTATGCACTTGCTAGGATTTCTTAAGTTGTACATATGCAGTTTTTAAAAGAGTATCATATTTTATGTAAATTGACTTTATAAATAAAAATCTATTTATAAATGGCTTCAGGGCTCCAAGATGCATCTCTTTGCCAGAAATGCCCAAAGTAACTTCTGCCTGAGGGGGTGGGAGAGGGGCATAATGAGTGATACTGCAGAGAGGCAGTTCTCCAGGACCAGCTTTCACATGCAGAAGGGAATAAGGAGCAGCACAGCATAACCTCCAGGCTCGCTTTTCTTCCCCATTCAAGTTTCATGAACTCAGCACTCAGTGCAAGTACTGCTGAGGTGATGGAGGAGGAGGTGCAGATGCATACAGGAGACAAGGCAGGTTCAGTGCTGGTAACTCCCTTTCTGGACATGCAGAAGGTGCTGCAGGCTGTGCTGCCCTTGCCTACAGTGATGGGAGAGTCATGGGAAGGTAGGGAAGGAGTGGGTATCTGAAGTTTGTTTGTCCTGGCAGCTACTCTCAGGAATTCAGTTGGGATGCCTTTATTCAGGGGAGCAGCATCTCTGAGAAGAGTCTTGTCATGCAACCACACGTAACCAAGTGTCCCACTCCGACCTACTCTAACTTCAGCTGCATGTACATTTAGCTAAAGGCGGTATGCAAACATGAATTGCTCCTTAGAATCCATTGTCAGAGACTCCTAAGCTCTGTCCATTACTTTGGGCTCATGCTGAAGACCTGCTTCAGTGGAGGTGAGCCAGAGGTAAAACAGATTGCTGTGAAACAAAACAGTGAAGATGGCATGAAAAACTCCAGCAGAGGCTGTTACTTCCCTTAAATAGCTCTAATGAATGTTACTACTTCAGTAGAGCAAAATGCGCTGGCCTATAGAACAGGCTGAGTGAACACAAAACAGAAAGGGTTATTACAATTGACCTACTTTACAGGGACTGTGTATAATCTCTGCTGCTTTAGTACTGGGAAGGTAGAAGTTTTCAGGTGTACGATCATTCAGCAGTCCCAAATTTAATAATTGCAGTGGGTGCTCAGTAATCCAGATCTATAAGAGTATTTCACATACATGATTCCACTTGAAGAGCAAAAAAAAAAAAACCAACAAAAAACCCAAAAAACAAACCCATGGGAAAATTGCAGGCTCTAACAGCAAGTAGCATTTAGGAGCCTGCAAGGAAAAGCAATAGTTCTGGTGCTTCAAGTTCATTCCCCAATTAAAGTTGCTCTAATAAACAGTCCTTTTGAAAGGCCCTGGGAATTCAAGCACTTACTTAGTAAATTGCTTGCAAAGGTTTTGCCCTGTATGGCTCTTCAACAGCCCCACAGGTAGAAGCGAGAGCTGTGAGCTGACCTCAGTGTTAAGTGATCTGCTACACTTGGTAGCAGCAGGATAGGGCTGAGGGGGTGGGAGGGTGACACGCTACCTTTCCCCACTTGGGGTTTAGGGGCTTCATCCTCACAGATGACCTCCAAAAACTCAGTCAGGTGTAAACCCATGCAGATTCCCACATACTTATTCTCAGCCTAAAACAGCAGCATGCCATGTTTTCCAAGCAATTAAGAAATCAGGACTGCTGCATTCATCTGCAGCAGTATCCCATTATGGCAGAATGCATTTGTTTAGAGAGTTTTACTACTGCTTGGCAGGGTGTTTGTTTTCCTTCCTTAGGAGCACTGATCATTTTCATATTTCCAAAAGCAATATTTGGCTCTCAGTCAGGTAACTCCCAGCATCATCACTAGGTTCATCAGATCACCCAAGACAGAGTTGCAGCAACATTAAAGCAGCATCAGTTGTAACTGTAGTGGCGAGAAATTAGCTGTGAACAGTTTTCACTTAAGCAATATTAATATTAGGGGGGGAAAAAAAAAAGCTTAGTCAGCATCACAAATTACCTTAATGCTGTCAGCCAGTGTTTCAGTAGAAAAGGGGGAAGTCGGGAACATGCAATTTACTTTGAAAAAAAACCCCCAAGGTGGTTATGAGCCTTCCAAACACTTGAGGGGAAAGAGGGTGCAGGCAGAAGGATATATGCCTGTTTTAGAAACACAGGATGGACAGAGGGACTTCTTTCTTCAAGCATGGTGACCACAAGTCACGAGCAGATTCTCAGACAGAATCATAGAATGGTTTGGGTTGGAAGGGACCCTGAAGATCATCTTGTTCCAACCCCCCTGCCATGGGCAGGGACACCTGCCACTAGACCAGGTTGCTCAAAGGTCCATCCAACCTGGCCTTGAACACTGCCAGGGATGGGGCATCCACAGCCTCTCTGGACAACCTGTCCCAGTGCCTCACCACCCACACAGTAAAGAATTTTTTTTTCCTAATATCTAATCTACATCTACCCTCTTTCAGTTTAAAACCATTACCCCTCATCCTATCACTACAGTCCTTGATAAAGAGTCCCTCCCCATCTTTCCTGTAGGGAAAGGTACTGGAAGGCTGCTATAAGGTCTCCCTGGAGCCTTCTCTTCTCCTTGCTGAACAACCCCAACTCTCTCAGCCTGTTCTCATAGGAGAGATGCTCCAGCCCCCTGATCATCTTCATGGCCCTCCTCTGGACCCACCCCAACAGGTCCATGTCCTTCTTATGTTGGGGCCCCCAGAGCTGAAGGCAGTTCTGCAGGTGGGGTCTCATGAGAGCAGAGTAGAGGAGGAGAATCCCCTCCCTCAACCTGCTGGCCACACTTGTTTTGAGGTGGCCCAGAATGCTATTGGCTTTCTGGGCTGCAAGCAGACATTGCTGGCTCATATTCAGTTTTTCATCCACTAATACCCCCAAGTCCTTCTCCACAGGGCTGCTCTCAACCCACTGATCACCCAGCCTGTATTTGTGCTCAGGATTGCCCTGACCCATGTGCAGGACCTTGCACTTGGCCTTGTTGAACTTCATGAGGTTCACACAGGCCCATGTCTCAAGCCTGTCAAGGTCCCTCTGGATGGCATCCCTTCCCTCCAGTGTGTTGACCGCAGCACACAGCTTGGTGTTGTCAGCAAACTTGCTGAGGGTGCGCTCAATCCCACTGTCCATGTCACTGACAAAGATATTAAATAATTCTGGTCCCAATACCGACCCCTGAGGAACACCACTCGTCACTGGTCTCCACTTGGACATCGAGCTGTTGACTGCAACTTTTTGAGCGTGACCATCCAGCCAATTCTTCATCCACCGAGTGGTCCATCCATCAAATCCCTGTCTCTCCAATTTAGAGACAAGGATGTTGTGTGGGACAGTGTCAAACGCTTTACACAAGTCCAGGTAGATGATAGCACTTGCTCTTCCTTTACCAACCAACACTGTAACCCTGTCATAGAAGGCCACCAAATTTGTTAGGCACAATTTGCCCTTAGTGAAGCCATATTGCCTGTCATCAATCACCTCCTTATTTTCCGTGTGCCTTAGCATAGATTCCAGAAGGATCCACTCCATGATCTTCCTGGACACAGAGGTGAGACTGACTGGCCTGTAGTTCCCCAGGTCTTCCTTTTTTCCTTTTTTTAAAAATGGGCGTTATGTTTCCCCTTTTCCAGTCAGTGGGAACTTCCCCAGACTGCCACGACTTCTCAAATATGGATGGTGGCTTAGCCACTTCATCTGCCAGTTCCCTCAGGACCCACAGATGCATCTCATCAGGTCCCATGGACTTGTGCACCTTCAGGCTCCTTAGATGGTCTCAAACCTGATCTTCTCCTACAGTGGGTGGTTCTCCATTGTCCCAGTCCCTGCCTTTGCCATCTGTGACTTGGGCGGTCTGGCCGGAGCACTTGCCAGTGAAAACTGAGGCAAAAAAGTTGTTGAGTACCTCAGCCTTCTCCATGTCCCAGGTAACCAGGTCTCCCATTCCCTTCTGGACAGGGCCCACATTTTCCCTAGTTTTCCTTTTATTACCAATGTACCTATAGAAGCTTTTCTTGTTGCCCTTGACATCCCTGGCCAGGTTTAATTCTATCGGGGCTTTGGCTTTCCTGACCTTGTCCCTGGCTGCTCAGACAATTTCTTTGTATTCCTCCCAGGCTACCTGTCCTTGCTTCCACCCTCTGTAGGCTTCCTTTTTGTGTTTGGGTTTGACCAGGAGCTCCTTGTTCATCCACACAGGCCTCCTGGTGTTTTTGCCTGCCTTCCTCTTTGTTGGGATGCAT